TCATGCTGAATGATGTTACGGGCAGCATATGGTCTCCAGTTCCTTGCACATCTGTCACATGTGCTCCCTAAAGGACTTTGCGTTAAAGATTATTTTCTTGACTGAATAAATATAGAAACAAATGGTGCAATCCTAGGTCAAATGGCTAACAAATTACAAGCTACACACACAAATTTCACAATACCTAAAAATTGGCCATAAAATGTGCAATAAACGAATGCTGCATCCAAAGTTAGACTAAGTCTATAGTCCTTATCTGGAAATGGACCACCAACACAGATACACAGAAATGGTGTATCATACATGTGACAGAATGCTCATTCTGGTGCAAGAGAACCAACAGCATGGTCATATAACTCTGTGCCATTGGGAGTTTTTACCCTTAAATGGGAAAAAACACTGGTCTAGACAGGTGTTCCTCAAGCATCAAAGTATACCCAATAAAATAAAGACAAATGGTGATTTCTGCTGCTATATAACTTTGCTGTAGTATAAAGGCACACTCTCAATTCTAGCACTTATATCCAAGTGCAAAAAACTGTGCCTAAAAGACAGACCATCAGTATCATGGAAGCGAGCGACCTCGGTGAACAGTGAACGTGAGTCCTCCCCCTGTATGTGTTACATCCTGGGTGGATGTCAGTGGGGATCATCAAACAGTGGATATCAGGTGGTGTTTCTTACAATAGCTGGAGGTGTTGAAAGAGTACAGGAAATCAAATTTTGTCCTCCTTGGGGAAGCGAGAGTCTCCAAGAGCATGTTAGGGAGATGGGTTAGGCGGGCCATCAAGCACGCTTATGGTGAAATGGGCAGAGATTCTCTGGAGGGGATCGCAGCACATTCTACAGGGTCAGTGGCAACATCCTGGGCTGAAAGGGCTGGTGCACCTCCATATCACATTTACAAGGCAGCTACCTGGTCTAGTTTTTCCACATGCATATGCCATTTATAGATTGGACCTGTTGGCAGCTGCTGACCAGTCCTTTTAAGCAGGAAGGTCCTTCAAGTGGTGATCCCACCCTAGAGTAAGTTTCTTTATCTCCAGGTGCTGTCCTGAAAGGGGATGAGAAAAATCCTTAGACTTACTAGTGACTGCATTTCTAACAGCCTTCCAGGACAGCAGGAACTACCCTCCCTGTTTCCTGATGAATATGTCAATGCTTCTATTATGTTTGCATGGTGTTTGTGCTTGTGTTTTCCAGAATGGCGTGGGCTTCTCTGCAGTAGGAGGGCATGGTGGAGGAGGTGGATTTTAAAGCTTGCTGCAGTGTTTTCTAGGATTAAGGGTGGAGCTATGTTCTCCAGGTGCTGTCCTGAAGGTCTCTTGGAAATACCATCTCCGGTAAGTCTAAGGATTTTTCTGCAATGCAGAAATGGTACACTTGTTAAAACCTGGTTTATTATCTGGAAAACAAAACCTAAAACTGTTGGAAACTTCAGACATGAAATCATAACAAACCATATATAGTGTTTACTTGTCTCTCTCAAGTGCAAAGGTGTAATTTCTCTCTGCTTCTCATTCCTCCATCAGCACAAGTCACTTCTGAGAGGTTTTCCTGACACCAAGAACTGAAAAGGTGACCGGAGAGGGAGTTCCAGCTGATTGACAGCCCCAGCTCTGTTCCTGTGTGAACTAGGTGTCCCTTTCCTCCAAATGGCTCTCAGAGCTCTTGTACAGTGTGTAACTGTAGCTCCATGCTCCCTCCATTGAGTCTGTGTCCTGTATATTCTTGTAAAATGCAGATGAAAAGGATTTTTCAAATGGCCACAAACAGGTACAACTTATGTAGGAGGAATTGTTTCATTTGTGTATCTCTTAAGGCTAGTCACTTCACTGGGTGTAGGTAAGGGTTTACAACCACTTTAAAAGAGGAACTTCAGCCTGCCTTCCTTGTTAGCTCTACCACCACCCCCTTGGGCACCATCATTATGGAACATGCACAGATGTGCCCACAGCTTCCTGCCTAGTGGCCCAGCTGCACAGGTTTTCTGAACGTGTAAAGACGGGGCAGGTTTTCAGATTTCTGCTAGCAGTCTTCGTGTGAGGAAACCAGGTCCTGTGCAGATGTACAAGCAGGGCTCTTGAGACAGGAGCCCTGCGGCACATCTGCATATGTGCAGTGAGTGGGAAGAACGTCTCACCTAGGCGAGGCAAAACAAGTGTTGCTTTGGAGCAGAGTACTTTTAAATCAATTTGTGAAAGGGAAGGGAGGGCAGGGTGGCCCAACATCGCTTAATAGGGTGAAGGTTTGCTTTATAGAGTATGTAAACCTAACATTTCATATCCCTGGTATGTGACTGCTGTAAAACGCACTTGTCTGAAAAAGTATCCTGTTCTTCCTTTTTTTTTTTTTTTTTTCTCTAATATTGCTTCCTTTTTGTGTGAAAATCCAGGTGATCCTGCCAGTTCCTCCGTTTTCCTATTAACTGACTAAATGAGGGTTTACAATCACTTTATCACTATATCTTGTACTTCTGAATTTTGAAATACAGGCAGTGCGTGTATATATATATATATATATATATATATATATATATATATTTATGTACATCATACCTAATCCCTAATGAGTTTACATCTTTTTTTATAACAGAAGTTGTGACTATGTATTTAGGACTGTACCAATGTCTTCATTTTTGACACTGTAATGCAGGCTTAGGGGTTATCAATAGGCTACTCTGTAACCATGTAGTAATTTAACCAGAAACCTGCAACCTTCTCCTCTCAAGAGCTAGCTGCATGTGAAAAATTCAACTTCATGGCACCCTTTTTATGGGGCACCAGACTCCATGTAAAGAGTGGTAGTTTAACTTTACTGCATACCAGGACCTATGCAAGTATATCCCCCAAAGGAATTGCTGTACTAAAATATGTGCTTGTTTTTTGACTTGTAGAATAGAATGAACAAAGCCTTCATAAAATCATGCCAAAACATGCAACATTCTGAGTGTTGAAGGTTCCTTCAACTCATGGTAAAACGGGTTTATAATCTCAACCTTCCCAATGCTGAAATCTTGCTGGTGGGTCAAAGGCACAGATTAGGTGATATCTTTTAATCATGTTCAAATACTGTACATCCCCTAGTAACTGACAATTTTACAGAATTGACCAGGCAACAATTGATTTACTTTGAAACTGTGCCCATGGATAAAGGTGATATACATATAAAAAATTGCCTTTTTATGGCACAAAATATGTATTGGTGTGCCTTGGGGGGGGGGGGAACTTTGTCCACAGAAGCTAGTATTGCTCTCTTACCAAAAGTGCATAATGGCCTACTGTCTGTGACACTTGTGACCACTTCTCAGAGCCAGGTCACATATATGTGAAATAACATTGCTTTCTATTGTGCCTGTTCACATATGTCTAGTGCAAATTAAAAAGGCTGGTCAGTTTTCTGAGCAGTCTGGTTCAGGTGCAATTCAGGCTCATTGACTTCAATGGGAACCTCTTCTGAATTGCACGTTATCAGTTTTTGAACACTATTCAGCAGGGCTTTCTCTCTTCAAATCCTGTCCTGAATTGCTGAACAACAGCTTTGTAATTTGCTGTGAAAATGGATTTTCAAAACTGCATCTCACATATGTGAATCCAGTATTACTGTGAGATTCCTTCAGAAACGGTCCTAATTTCAATGGGTTTCGAATTGGGGCTTGACTAGGCCAGTCCATAGTGTTCCAATTCTTTTGAGGACTCCATTGGCAATCTTGCGATTCACTTTTTGAATAATCCACTTGTAGTTCATTTTTGGCAAAACAGGTCTACTGTTACTGCACAGCTCCCATGTGCATTGCCATTTTTATTAACATACTGAATATAGCCTTTAAATTTTACATGTACTTTCACCTAAAGTATCTACAGTTGTGTTCAAAATAATAGTGTCTAAAAAAAAAAAAAAAAAAAGTGAGTAAAGTTTAAAATCCTTATAGCTTTTATTTCTACACATGCAAATGCATTGGCAATTTTACAGTCTAGTTCAAATCAAAACATGAAGAAAAATGTTATAAATTTCTTTCACTTTCTGTAAAGTAATAACAAATTTTGAAAGGTTGTTCAAAAAAAAAAAAAATAGCAGTGTCTGTTTTCCTTTACAAATGCAAACACTTGTATAAACTGAACAATGCTTAAAAATTTAGCTTTCCTGTGAATATCTGAACTAGTATTTAGTTGTATAAGCACTGTTTCTGAGAACTGCTGTACATCTGTGTCGCATGGAGCTGACCTACTTCTGGCACCTGTGAACAGGTATTCCAGCCCAGGATGACTGCACTAAATTCCACAATTCCTCTGCATTTCTTTGTTTTACCTCCAAGAAACCACTTTTTTTTTTTTTTTTTTCTTTTGGTCACCCTACAAGTTTTCTATAGGATTAGGGGCTTGGGCTGGTTACTCCATTATGGTTAATCTTGTTGGTCTGGCACGAAGATGCTGCTCGCTTACTGGTGTATGCTTGAGGTTGTTGTCTTGTTGAAACACCCATTTCAAGGACCTTTCCTCTTTGGCATAAGACAACATGACCTCTTCAAGAATTTTGATGTAGTCAAAATGATTTATGATCCCTGGAATATAATAAATAGGCCCAATGCTATAGTATGAGAAACATCCCCATATCATGATGCTTGCACCACCATGCTTCACTGTATTCAGTGTACTGTGTCTTGAATTTAGTGTTTGTTCTTTTTGGGTCTAGGTCACAGCCAGTTTGACAGATAATCCCCAGTCTTGCTTTCATCATTCCACAAAATATTGCACCATTTCTCTTTAGGCCAGTCAATATGTTCTTTGGTGAAATGTAACCTTTTTAGCACGTCAGGTTTTTTTTATGGCTTAATTGGCTGATTAGAGTGGGACACTTTGAGCCTAGAAGATTGCACCTTTTCACAATATTCTGATTTTCTGAAATTGTGGATTTGGGGTTCTCATGAACTGTAAGCCATAATCATCACAATTATGACAAATCACAGCTTGAACTATCTCATATATTAGTTTCACCTTTTAACCTCCCTGGCGGTATTCCCGAGTGTAGCTTGGGGTAATGTTTCAGTACCAAAAGCGGTAACCCCGAGCTACAGTCGGGCTTACCATGTGGTGCTGCTCCAGGATTTGTTCTTCTCTAACCTTGTCCTGCGCTCCCACGATGTCCCTCCTGCAGTGACCCCTGTAATGTTCTCCGGTGGATGCCAGCATCTGTCTTCTGGGTTCCGTCTCCTGGGACGTACGGGGGACGGAACGGCGGCAAATTTGAAAATGACAAAAAGTGACATTCACTGAAATAACATAGTAAAACATTACTGTATCAAACCATTTCACATACATTTTGTCCCGAGTGCTTTGTCCTGTGCCCTGCCTACATTTTTACTGTTCTTTCTGCCTGAGAAACATCCATGGCGTCCAAAAAGCGTCCCTTTAGGTCAAAATCGGTTTTAGAACAGCGATAGTAAATTAGAACTACTTGCAGAATTGAGTGATAATGAGTCATGGGGAAATTCGTCATCCGCCACTGAAAACGATTTTGCGACTTTGCTCAGTGATGCGCAAACTTGGCCTGTTGGAAACATTCCTTTGAGATTTTGGTCTATATTGACATGATGGCATCATCCAGTTGCCGCATATTTGTTGGCTGCACATCCATGATGCGAATCTCCCGTTCCACTGCATCTCAAAGGTGCTTTTTTGGATTGAGATCTGATGACTGTGGAGGCCATTGGAGTATAGTGAACTCATGTTCAAGCTGATTTGTGGTGCATTATTCTGCTGGAAGTAGCCATCAGAAGATGGATACACTGTAGTCATAAAGGGATGGACATGGTCAGCAACAATACTCAGGGAAGCCGTGATGTTTAAACAATGCGCAGTTGGTATTAAGAGGCCCAAGGTGTGCCAAGAAAATATCACCCACACCATTACACCACCAGCCTGAATTGTTGATACAAGGCAGGATGGAGCCATGCTTTCATGGTGTTTACACCACCCTACTCTCTAAATCTTTCAGCTAAAATTAAGACTTATCCACCCAGCCACCATTTTTTACAATCTTCTATTGTCCAATTTTGGTGAGCCTATGCAAATTGTAGCCTCCATGTCCAGTTCTTAGTTGACAGGAGTAGCACGCAGTGTGGTCGTCTGCTGCTGTAGCCCATCTGCTTCAAGGATCGACGTGTATTCACGGATGGTATTCTGCATACCTTGGTTGTTCTGGCTTGTTATTTGAGTTACTGTTGCCTTTCTAGCATCTCAAGTCTACCCATTATCCTCTGACACCAACAAGGCATTTTTATCCACCCAATAGCCACTCACTGGATATTTTCTGTTTTTTGGACCATGCTCTGTAAACCCTAGAGAGATGGTAGTGCATGAAAATGCCAGTAGCTCAGGGGTTATTTTAAATATTTGACCAGCCTATCTGGTACTAACAACCATGCCATGATTTAAAGTCACTTAAATCCCCTCTCTTCTCCTTAACCTTAAAGTTTGATAGTTTTCCAAATATCTTCAATTCATGGAAAAGAGATGGTAGGAAAATAATTGGGTTTGTAACACAAAATAGGAGGTCCTCTGCGTAAGTGAAGATTTTGTGATGGTAACTGTAAGCCCTGAGACCAGTGATGTCAGGGTTTCCGCGTACCTGCTGTAAGTAGGGTTCAAAGATAAGGACAAAAATCAGCAGGGATAGGGAAAAGCCCTGTTCTGTGCTGTTACAGACTGTGAAGGGAATGTCCACATTTCTGCTAGCTGCATTATCCTTTACATAAATGAATACTATAACTATTAAAAATGTTCACCCCCCCCCTCCTGCTACCCATGCTGACAAATGTTGGGGAAAAAAAAAAAAAGTTAAATATGGCAAGTGTAAACTTGCCTGCTCTGGTCACATGTACCAGCTCCCCTGCATCAGTCAGCAGCAGCTGCAGGAGAGGAGCGCTCTCCTCTCCTACAGCTGCCACTGACACAGAGGATCACGTGATTGGGCTGAAGCAGGCTAAACATAGGCAAGTATACACTTATATTTTATTTTTCTTGGAAGTTTGCTGTAACTGTTGCATTCATGTATAGAGTAAAAGGGATGACCTTTGCTCTGTATATAACAGAGTAAATATAAACAGAGCACAGTGCTAGGAGTGAGTGCTTAACCAATTCAATACCAAGCAATTTTATACCTTCCTGCCCAGGCCAGTTTTCAGGTTTCAGCGCTCTCACACTTTGGGTACAATGTTGTATGACCGCGCAATTGTCATTCAAACTAAAATTTTATCATTTTCTTCACACAACTAGAGCTTTCTTTTGGTGGTATTAAATCACCACTGGGGTTTTTATTTTTGCTAAATTAACAAAAAAAGACCAAAAAGTTCAAGAAAAAAAAAGTTTCTTTGTTTCTGTTATAAAAGTTTGCAAATAAAGTTTGTTCATAAATTTAGGCCGAGATGTATTTTGCTACATGTCTTTGGTGAAAATAACCCAAATTAGGATGTATTTTTTAGTTTGTAGGAAAGTTATAGAGTTCACAAACTATGGTATAGATCTGAATTATTGACGGCCAATCTAATTTCTTGAGGACCAAGAATGTCAGAATAGTACAGATATCCCCCAAATTACCCCTTTTTGCAAAGTAGACAGTCCAACGTACTTCATAAGAGGCATGGTGAGTTTTTTTGAAGTTGTGTTTTTTTTGGTATTTTTTGGAAAATGAAAAAATTTAAAATTAGTTTCACTATTTTTTTTTTTTACATATTGTCACCAGTGCAGTACAGTGTCATCATATAACTGGCATGGTGGTGATCAGGGACACTGACTAGTGACAGTATGGGGGAAAAAAAATATACATATTTTTTTTTTTATACATTTTTTTTCTTTAAGATTTTTTTTTTCACATTTCACTATGACCAAAGTACCATAGTAACATTGTACTACTTTGGGGAAGTGATCTGTTGTTTTTTTTTTGTTACACACATAATTTGCTTATAGCAAAGAATTACTTTGCGATAAGCAAGCATTTACCTGAATGACATCGATTTTATTCAGGGTTTTTTTTTTTTGTGCTTAGCTGTGATTTGGCCACAGCTAATCACATCACATGACATGTGATTAGCTGTGACCATTCACAGCTAGGCAGTAGTATACAATGGATGGCATGAATGAAGCCATCCATTGTATACAACTCATGTGACCTGCTGTGATTGGTCACAGCAAGTCACATGGTACTGGGGTTGATACTCAGATCTGTCATCGGCCATGTCTGAGGTACGCAGGTGCGGGAGGATGCTATAGGGCGTCCACCTGGAACGCTGATGACATTTGCCGCCTGTCATTCGGCCATAGGGCGGGCGGCAACTGGTTAAAGTAAGTATAAAGAGGAATACTGTTACATAAACATTTGTTTACCTTAATGCAGGGAATGCCTTACAGTAAAAAAAGAATCTTGACCATAGGGTTATAGAGCCATCTACTCCAGTAGGATACTGGGCAGAAAAGAAACACTGCACCACCTATAAGCAATCCTTGCTGGTATAAAAACCCCTCCTCTCCTATAGGCTATCAAGTTTTTAAAAGCACGGTCAGAGGAGAAACTCCAACAGAGGGGTGGGTGCTGTATCAGTCAATTGACTCAGAAAAAGGGATTTTATGGTGCCTTAAAAAAAAAAAAAAAAAAAAAATCCTGTTTTCTCTTACGTTCAGCGACGGACACCATTCTTCTGAATCTTGACTAGAAGGATGGCCCAAAGCAGTGTCTCAATGCGGGGTGGGCAAACCAAAAACCAACTGGATCAACCAGGCAAACATGATACCACCCAAACAACCTTCAAAAAGGAGCAAGCAAGGAACCTAAAAGAGCTGCCAGCAAAACCTTGCAGCCAAACAAAACTGCCAGAGATACAGTTGTGTTCAAAATAATAGCAGTCAGACATCACTAACTTGATCAATCACTGGTTTTGGTAGAATTGATATTTCTACATGGCAAATAATTTACTAGCAGGTGTAGTAGAGGAATAGAAATCCAACAGACCCAACAGTCATCTCATGCATGCTGCTGATTGTGTAATTGAAAGGGGCATGTTCAAAATAATAGCAGTGTGGAGTACTATTAGTGAGGTCATTCATTCTTTGAAAAACAGGTGGCAATTATTGCCCTTATTAAAGGAAGGAAGGCAGCAAATGTTGTACATGCTGGTTACAGTGCATTTCTCTCTGAAATTCTGAGGAAAAAGGGTCGTTCCAGACATTGTTCAGAAGAACAGCGTACATTGATTATCCAGTTGATTGGAGAGGGGAAAACATAAAGAAGTGCAGAAAATGATAGGCTGCTCAGCTAAAATGATTGCAAATTCTTTAAAATGGCAACCAAAACCTGAAAGACGTGGAAGAAAGCGAAAAACTACCATTTGAATGGATAGAAGAATAGCCAAAATGGCAAGGACTTAGCCAACAATCAGCTCCAGGAAGATCAAAGAAGGTCTAAAGTTACCTGTGAGTACTGTCACAATTAGAAGACGCCTATGTGAAGCCAAGCTATCTGCAAGAAGCCCCTGCAAAGTCCCACTGTTGAAAAAAAGACGTGCTGAAGAGGTTACAATTTGCCAAAGAGCACATTGACTGGCCTAAAGAGAAATGGCGCAACATTTTGTGGACTGATGAAAGTAAGATTGTTCTAGTGGCCGGAGACAGTTTGTCAGACGACCACCAAACACTGAATTCAAGCCACAGTACACTGTGAAGACAGTGAAGCATGGTTGCGCAAGCATGATATGGGGATGTTTCTCATACTACGTTGTTGGGCCTATTTATTGCATACCAGGGATCATGGATCAGTTTGAATACATCAGAACACTTGAAGAGGTCATGCTGCTTTATGCTGAAGAGGAAATGCCCTTGAAATGGGTGTTCCAACAAGACAACGACCCAAAAACACACCAGTAAACGTGCAACATCTTGGTTCCAGACCAACAAGATTGACGTTATGGAGTGACCAACCCAATCCCGGATCTTAATCCAATAAAATACTTGTGGGGTGACATAAAAAATGCAGTTTCTGAGGCAAAACCAAGAAATGGAGAAGAACTGTGGAATGTAGTCCAATCATCTTGGGCTGGAGTACCTGTTCACAGGTGCCAGAAGTTGGTTGACTCCATGCAACACAGATGTACAGCAGTTCTCAGAAACAGTGCTTATACAACTAAATATTAAGTGATTCAAAGGAAAGCAAAATCTTCAAACATTTTTCAGTATATATAGTGAATGTTTGAGTTTGTAAAGAATACAAACACTGCTATTTTTTTAAACAGTCTAATATTCACTTTTCTTCAATTTTTGTAGAGGAACAA